GAATGCCTCACAAAAGTTTGTGCACGACCCATTGCGGACTCCCCAAATGCTTGCTTTAGCATTTCATAGGTTTCCGTAGCCGTTTTGGCGAGTCTTTGGCAAAATTTGATGCACACGCCATTCCGAAATCGCAGGAGGGTCGGTGTAATGCACTACCAAAACGCCCGTAACTAAGAAACAAATGCTAATTCGATGATGCCGGCTGGCACACTGATTCGCTATGAATGTAGGCCGCACCCCCTAGCGGCAGAAGCTCGTACTACATCCGGTTCGCCCTCTATTGACACAGTCTTGAAACTTTCCGATCGCACCTCGTATTGCACATAGACAGTTGCAAAAGTACCATGGCAGTGCACTTGCCCATTGGGCCCAGCTTATGTGATACATTTGTTTGCTGAACAGAGAATTACACAAGTCACATAGCTCTGTATTTGGCTTCCTGATACTTGTAAGATTTGAGGTTTTCACAGTGGTGAGTGATATTGATCGCCCTGATGACGGAGGCATTATGACCTCTGAAATATTGGTTAACATCGACCAGACTACACAGCGCAAGAACCCAGAAGACAGAAATCTTCCTGATACATGTTTCTTTTTCCTTAACTTATAATAAACTTGAAAGGCAAAACAGTTGGTAATATGGAGAAAATTAATACAGTAGAATTGAGAAGTTGTTGGTCATTCCAAATGTGAAGTTTGAAGGGTGCTTCTGCCACTGGCAGAAACAGTGAAACAAGTGTGTGCATGTAAAATGGCTGTCTTCTTGGTAATTGTGGTGTGTAGTCTGCTAGAAGGCTACTGACATTTTAGATGTGTTTGCTGCCTCCGTCATCAGAGTGATGATTGCCCTAATGATGAATGCAGTTGGAGAATTCTACCAGACTGCACAACTGAGAAAACAGCCATCTTAATACTCACTACCATGAGGACCTGAAATCTCACCAAGTACATATATGTTGAAGGAGCCTACTTTGATTGGGTCCAACTGTACCATGGTGGTGTCCTGGCATACATATAGATTAGGGCAGAATATTAACAAACCGTACCTACTGACATATTCAGAGTACTGGTTAGAGCTCTCTGATAGACTGTCTCTCCATGTCTCGATCTCTAACACCGTCTCTCTCGGTCTCGGTAGCTCAGAGACCGTCATTAAGAGATCAGTTCGTGCAGAGAATGAGTCAGGCGCACACCACATTCGTCAGAGAAACAGTACGAGAGGGACCGGTTCTGGTAGGCATCAGGTGGGGGAATTTTGAAAAATTTCAAAATTTTCAAAAAATCAAGAAATGCTGAAAATTGTCCAAAAAGCGCACAAAACCAAAAAATTTGAAAAATTTCACATAAAAATGTTTTCAATTTTTTTAGTTTTGTGCGCGTTTCAGGCAATTTCCAGCATATTTTGATTTTACGAAAATTTTGAAAAATTTCAATATTTTTTTAAAACCTCCCCAAGAGATGCCTGCCAAACTCGGTGAATGCCTCACCCTGTCTCTGCCGGATTCGGCCTCTGTCTCACCCGGTTGCTGTCTGCACTAAACGGCCTCTGCAGGATTCCGACTCTGCCGGTGAGGGTCTGCCTTACGTGTTGTGTGCCGCACTAGGGCTTCTCAGAGAGTGGTGGCGTACTCCTGTAATCCAGCTACTTGGAGGCTAGGTGTTGTTGCTGGGTCATACAGAGACCGAGTCAGGCACACACCGCATTCGTCAGAGACACAGTACATCAGAAACAGTACGAGAGGGACCGGATCTGCAAGCCTTCACGTGGGGGGATTTTGAAAGTTTTCAAATCCAAAAATGCTGCAAATTGTCCCAAAAGCGCACAAAAAAATGAAAAATTTCACATCAAAATTTTTTCAAAATTTTCAAAAAAATTTGGTTTTGTGCGCCTTTCAGACAATTTCCAGCATTTTTTGATTTTTCGAAAATTTTGAAAATTTTCAAATTTTTTCAAAGGTCTCCTCTAGAGATGTAAGCCAGACTCGCTGAATGCCACATCCTGACTCTCACAGACTCGGCCTCTATCTCACCCAGTAGATGCCTGCCTCGGTGTCTGCACCAACCGACCTCTGAAGGACCCTGGTCTCTGCAGGCCCGTGCCTGCTTCACGTGTTGCATTCCGCACCTGGGCTTGTCAGAGACGTCACGTCAGATCTGTCTTACAGAGACCGGTCCGTGCAGAGCCCGAGCCAAGCACTGACCGCATTCGTCAGAGACAGTACATCAGAAAGAGTCAGAGGGAGACCGATTCTGCAAAGCATCAGGTGGTGGAAATTTGGAAAATTTGAAAATTTTCAAAAAAGTCGAAAAATGCTGGAAATTGTCCAAAAAGCGAACAAAACCAAATACACTGAAAAATTCAACCTTTATTTTTTTTCCGAAATTTTCAAAAAATTTTGGTTTTGTGCGCTTTTCAGACAATTTCCAGCATTTTTTGATTTTTTGAAAATTTTTAAAATTTTCAAATTTTTTCAAAGGTCTCCTCTAGAGATGTAAGCCAGTCTCGCTGAATGCCACATCCTGACTCTGATAGACTCGGCCTCTATCTCACCCAATAGCTGCCTGCCTCGGTGTCTGCACCAACCGACCTCTGAAGGACCCTGGTCTCTGCAGGCCCGTGCCTGCTTCACGTGTTGCATTCCGCACCTGGGCTTGTCAGAGACGTCACGTCAGATCTGTCATACAGAGACCGGTCCGTGCAGAGCCCGAGCCAAGCACTGACCGCATTCGTCAGAGAAACAGTTCATCAGAAACAGTGCGAGAGAGACCGGTTCTGCAAGGCATGAGGTGGTGGAATTTTGAAAATTTTCAAAAAATCAAAAAATGCTAGAAATTGCCCAAAAAGCGCACAAAACCAAAAATATTTAAAAAAATTCACCTTCAAATTTTTTTGAAAATTTTTGAAAATTTTTTGGTTTTGTGCGTTTTTCATACAATTTGCAGCACTTTTTAATTTTTCGTAAATTTTGAAAATTTTCAATTTTTTAAAAGCCCTCCTCAAGAGTTGCATGTCAGGCTGGTTGAATGCCACAAGCTGTCCCTACCAGACACAGCCTCTATCTGACCCAGTTGCTGCGTGTCTCGTTGTTTGCACCAACCGGCCTCTGCAGGAGTCTGGTCTCTGTAGCACCGTGACTGACTCACGTGTTGTCTTCCGTACCGGGCTTCTCGCAGACGGCAGGTCAGAGCAGTGTCATAGAGACCGTTCCATGCGGAGCCCGAGTCAAGAAGAGAC